CTTCTTTCTTCTTCTTATTCTTTTTCTCTCTCTTCTCCTTTATTCTTCCTCTCCAAATCAAACCCAGATCTAGGTTTGTTTTAATCTTATCATATACTAAATAGTTCATCCCATAAATCCACAGAGCCAAAATACATACACATTGGCCATTAATAATAATATTATATAACATCAGAGCTTCTTCCATACTAATATACAAACAAATAGCCTAATCTCAAAATACAATTAGGCACAAAAGAAAGCAACAAAACAAGAAAATCGAAATTCTATTGAGTGACTTGTCTGCCTGCATCTCCTGTCTTCTTAGCCTGGGACTGCTATTCCCCATCAAGTAGTATGAATTTAGGTATGTGTATAAGCTTTCAGAGTTCCCAAACACCCCTACATAAACCATCTCACCAAATATTCCAACCATTGGATGGTGGAATCCAGTCATTATGGGGCCTGCAAGGTTGGGCATCAACAAGGATGAATCCTCTTCATATAATGGATTTGGGTTATGGTTTTGTGCTTGATAAGGATTACGATAAGGAAGCTGCTGACCATTATGACTAGTAGTTGACAGAAGAGCTTGGTTACCGCAAGCCAAAATACATACGTATGCCACCTCTTCCCTCGCTTCCTCTTCCTTCATGTCTTGGTGATTTTTACAGATTCTACTAGGTGAATGAGGGGGGATTTGGGATTTGAGGGCAAAAGGGTGGGTTTGAGACAAACCCAGGGCCCACTAATTCCAGCACAAAGTACTGTGAGCACACTGGACACTCATGTGGCTTGCCTTTCTCCAGCCAAAACCAAACAACATCATGCTCATCCTCACCTTCAGCTCCTGGGCACCCAACTATTCTCTTGTCATAGAAGGATTTGATGACTGCAAGAGCTTCCTTTGTGCCAAAAAGACCAACAGGATTGTTAAAATCTTCAAGAATTATCTGCCCCTGAAGTTTAGCTTCAAGCTCCTCACACTCGTGCCTTGTGGCAATTGGATTTATGTCCTCAACCCTCTTCTTCATAGCAGTATCCATTGATTTGGAGGAGAAATGGCGAGTGAGGAGAGAAATGGAGGTGGATGGAGAAATGTAGAGTTTGTCTCAAGCCCCGAGCTAAGTTTGTTTTGGAGAGGAAGAAAAATCGAGAAGAGAGAGAAAAAGAATAAGAAAGAAGATGAAGTTTTTTTTTTTTTTTTTTTGTCTTTAGGTTTGAAAAATTATGAAATAATAATAAAAATGGTTAAATTTTCTTACCTAGAATTTACACTTCATTAAAATTAAAAAAATCCAGTGATTTTGTGGTAAGATAACGTGTCATCTGTCATTTAACTGACAGAAGGACCTTTTTGCTACCGAAAATGAAAATTGAGGGATAATTTTGGTACTTTTTAAAGTTGAGGGACAATTTTGGTGCCAAAGTGAAAAGTTGAGGGACCAAAATGAAAAGTTGAGGGACCAAAATGGTACTTAAACCCACAATGAATGTTGTATTTGTAACCATTTTTTGCATCACAATGATGATTATTTATGACAAAATAATTAGACACAAAAAAGAACATCATTTGTAACCTGTATAACTCCCCACAAAAGAAATTATTTGTGACATAAAATTTGATCACTAATACTGAATCAGTGATGTTTCCTTTTAATCACAACTAGAAGTATCCATAACCAAAAAAAATTAAACAAATGCTACCATGTTGGTCACAATTAGGATTATTTGTGACAAAAAAAAAAAAAAACTTGCTACAATTGTTATTATCAATGACGAAACAAAAAGGTCACAAATTGAATGTGTGATAGAGTTTCTAGTTTTAAAAAAACATATCCCAAAAAATAAAAGAAGGGCATTTCTGAAAATTCAATAAACATCAATATCCAATAATGATTTCATTACTAAAATAACAAGTATAAAATAGTCTCTTACAAAATTAGTCACTAGAAATTAAGTATAATAATTGAATAAAAAAGAAATTTTGAATTAAATAATAATTTATTAAATAATTCCAATTAAAATTGCTTTTAAAATAATTAAAAATATAAAATTATATCCA